AAAAAAAAAAAAAAAAAAAAATAAAAAAAAAAAAAAAAAAAAAATCTTAGAATCAGCTCGTCAATCTTAGAAAAGAACCTACTGGTGTTTTGATAGAGTTATGTTAAACGTATAGGTTAATTTGATAATGGACATCTTAATATTGATGATATTTTCCAATCTATGAACATGGTGTATCTATCCATTAATTTAGGTCGTCTTTAACTTTTCTCATGATGTTTTGTAATTTTCAGCAAACAGGTCTTGCACATCCTTTTTAGATTTATTCCTATTTTTTAAAACTTTATGATGTTATTATAAAATAACTCTTTAAAATTTGAATTTCCAACATTCTTTTCTAGTAGGTATAAATACAATTGATTTTTTTGTATATTAAACTTGTATTTTGTAACCTTAAGCTCATTTATTAGTTGTAGTGGCTTTTAGTAGTTGTTGTTGTTTATTCCTTGCACTTAGAGTTTTCCTTGTACATGATCATGTCCTCTGCAAATAAGGACAGTTTTGCTTTCTTCTTTCTTTTCTTTTTCCCTTGTCTTAATCAACTGGTTGGAACTTCAGTACATATTAAACTAACCTTGTTTTCCTGGGATAAACTCCAATTTGTCAAAACGTATTTCTCCTTTTACATATGGCTGGATTTGATTTAGTGATAGTTTGTTAAGAATTTTTGCATCTATGTGGGTGAGGAATGTTGGTTTATAACTTCTTTTCTTGTAATGTCTTTATCAGATTTGAATGTTAGTATAACAGTGACTCTTAACATGAGTTATGTTTCCCTTTTATTTTTGGGAAACATTTGTGTAAAGTTTGTATTATTTCTATGTAAATGTAGGATAAAATTCATCAGTGAAATCTTCTGCGCCTGTAGTTTTTGTTTTGGGAAGGTTTTTAATTTTAAACTTGAATTCTTTAATAGATGTATGTTTTTTCAGAATTTCTACTTCTTCTTGAGTCAGTTTTGTTAATGTGTGCCTTTTAAGATATTTTTCCATTTTATTGCAGTTGTCAAATTTATTGGCTTAAAGCTTTTTGTAATATCCCCTTTTTAATTCTTTTAGTTTCTGTAAGATCTGTGCTGATGTCTCTTATTATATTCCTGATATTGGTAATTTGTTTTCTCTTTTTTTCTTTATAAGTCTTGCTGAGGGTTTTATTACTATTTTTAAGGAAACAGCCTTCAAATTTAAATTTTTTTCTGTTGTTTGTCTTTTTAATGTTTTATTGATCTCTATTGTTATTTTTATTTCCTTTCTTTTACTTCTTTTTTGTATCATTTGTTATTCTCCTGGATTCCCAAGTTGAAAATTTATTTTAATACTTCTCTTTCCTAATATAGTCATTTAAAGTTATAAATTTCCACCTTAGCAATACTTCAAATGCATTCCACAAATTCTGGTGTCTTGTCTTTTTATTATCTCTTAGTCTGAATTAGAAAATATTTCCCTTGTGATTTCTTCTCTGACCTATGGGGTTTTTTTGAAGTGTACTACTTAATTTCCAGTTATGTAGTTTTCTAGATATTTTATCATCAGTTTCTAAATTTAGTACCCTTGCAGTCATAAAACATACTCTTGATTCAATGATTTTGATCCTTTTCTGAGACTTGTTTTATGGCCCCAGATGTGGTCTATCTTAGTAAATTTTCCATGTGCACTTGAAAGTGTTATGTTCTGAATTTATTGTGAAATGTTCTGTAAAAATCACTTATGCTAAATTGTTTCACACTGTTCTATGTCCCGGGTGATTCCTATATCCCTACTGTTATTGTTAATTTCTTTTTTTGAAATTGTTTATTTCTATCAGTAACTGATAGAGGATTTTTAAAATATCCAGCTATTACTTTGTGTGTGTGATTTTTTTTCTCTCCAAATATTTTGAAACTCAGTTATTAGATCCCATCTTAGTATTGATTGTGGAAATGCATCTAGTTAGGAGCCTGTTGTAAGTCTCAGTAAAAG